TAATAATAATAATAATAATAATAATAATAATAATAATAATAATAATAATAATAATAATAATAATAATAATAATAATAATAATAAAGCGGCTTTATTGAATTGTAAGTATGTTTATGTAAATACAATTCGGGAGGCGAAGTTTAGCAACTACTATTCGTACCTATACCCCCTTAACAAAAAAAGAAATAATAATAAAACAAAGAAACAGAAAAGTAAATAAATAATAAATAAAAAAAAAAGAAAAAGAAAAATTTGCATTAAAGTTTTACTAAAATTGAGAAAAACTACTTCAGAAGAAATACAGGAAATAAAGTTCGAAAAATGTATTTTTTTTCTTGCGAAAATTGTTCACTGAAAGTTTTTCTTTAAACAAATGACAAGAATTGTATAACTTTGTTGTATTGTAAAAGAGAGATCTTTTAAATATTGTTGTTTTAAACTTTGGTAATGACAGGTCGGCAATATTATGAACAGAAACTTGATGGCAACTTTTTTCTCGAATGAAATATAGGGTGGTGAAGCAGTAATAAACATTTTATATATAAACACTGACAAGAAATAATTATATATTTGGTCTACCGGCAGTCAACTAAGTTCTTTTATTTTTTGAGATACATGGTCAAATTTTTTTAATTTGTGAATAAAACAAGAGCACGAATTTTGATAATTTAAACATGAATAATAAATAATAAGACCATAATTAAGGTTGAAAAGCACCAATGTAAAATTAAAATTGCAATGATAAATTAACAGGTGTTTTGTCAAGGTTATAATTTTTTTGTAGTAGGTAATTTTGTTGTGCAGTAAATAAATTTTTTACATTTTCAAAATTAAACTTTAGCTTTAATAAAAACTTACAATTATAATTTATAAACATAAGTACAATTTGGCATTAACTTTTTTCAGCAGTATATCATTAAGAATTAATAAATTACACTTCTATAAGATTGGTTGCAGGTGTTTAATGAAAAGATGCCTGGTTGATTTTTTTTTCAGTGAATAAAAGCCTTATGTAACGCGTATATAGGCAACACAAAATACAGAGTTGTACTTAAACAATTGTTTTTTGGCGGACGCGGACGTTTTTATAAAAACAAACGCTAACTACCTGCCAATTAATTTAGTTTCAGCTCCACTTCTATACGATTGCTAAAAGATTATGCTCAAAATTAAATAAATACAGTCAAAGTTGTCAATTTCGCAATTAAGTATTTTTTGTAAATAACTCGGAACGGAAAGCACTTATTTTATTGTTAAAAAATTTAGTATTTTATTTGATTTGAAAAAACTTAAAAGTGTTTAGTATTTTTCATAGTAAATATCAGGATATCAGCATTATTTAAATGTGTGTCAAACACATTTTGGTTTGTTGCAAAGTTTTAAATAAATATCCAGGTATAATTAATAACATGAACTGTGATTTTCATATTTTTCTATTGTTTAAAGTAATTTTATTGATCTAAAACTTGTCACTAAAGCTACATCACAGATAGTTTTTAAAAAGAAGGCGGTGCTTAAAACTTTACAAAGTACACTTATTTAAAAAAAGTTGTGACTAACTATTGGCATATATAATGTTTTTAGGTAAAATTGACTGATGTTTTTTAATATAGTCTTTTAACATCTTTGTAAGTACAAACAAAAAATTTCTAATGCTTAGTTTCGTTCTCAACTTTAAAAGTTACAAAATAGTAATTTAAACAGAGATCTTTCTTATGGCGCTTTTTCTTATCCACATCTAATAAAGTTTTTTATTTAAATTATTTAATAATCCAGTCAATTACTGAAAAATTCTTTTAAAGATTTTGAGCTAATCAAAAAAAAAATATGACACCGTTTTGGTTTTTGCTATATTTGCTGAAATAGTCTTTGCCTAAAATATTGAGATTGTAGTGCTTACTTTTTCAAAATGCTCAGGAGAAAATTGTCTCAGATACTTGACCTGAAGTCCCAAACCCTATTTGTCTAAGAGGTTGGGGGAACGCCTCTACAGTGTAAACGCACCATTACGAGTAAGCAAAACTCATAAAGTTGCAAAGAGATTAAGACAAAATAGAAAAATAGACTAGAAACGGTGGTCAAATCCTGTTGGATTTGCAAATGTTTTGTCAAAATTATTAGAGACTCACATAGACAAATAGATAGAAGTAAATACGAAAAAGTCAACTGGAGACATCGAACAGGCCACGGTTGGTTCAGTATGACAAATATTGACATCTTTGTGAGTACAAACAAAAAATTTCTAGTGCTTAGTTTCGTTTTCAACTTTTAAAGTTACAAAATAGTAATTTAAACAGAGATCTCTCGCAGGCTAATTGTGACCTATAAGAACTTACCAATCGGAAGACGGGCTTACAGTTTTATAATAAAACTCGTATATTACAAATCAGGAGTAAAAAAATTTATTATTATAAAAATACGGGATGTCATGTAAAAATACAATATCGTATAACTTATTAAGAAGACAAAATGGAATGTATGTATAATTTAAATACTCACATAAAAGTAACAATTAAGTACAAAATACTGAAACCTATTTTCCACCTTAGTGTGCCAAGATGGTATCAATAAAAGAACTACATATGGATATCAATGGAAGTATCAACTTATTTGATACCAGAAAAAAACAATGTCATTTAATGAAACAATTTGTAGAAATTTAAACATTACAACAGAGAATATTTGCATGAATGTAAGACTATGCAAGTGACAATTTTATAAATTTGTGATGAATTTATGTAAATATAATAAGTAATTGGGTTCCACTATTTACCAAAAACTAAAAATATTTCGAAGACAGATTAGAACACTGGTCTCACAGCAATTTCCATATCGGGATAAAATTGTTCATACTGAAAGTTTGGATACAAATTGAAACTTAAACACGGAATGAGTGAATTTTCTTGAAACGTTTGAAGAGATTCAAGCAAGACATTAAAATCAGGCCTTTCATCCATATCGATCTGCCAACAGCTCAACATAAACTGATACAGTTCATCGCTGAAATATTGCAATTGTGGCAGACGTAAACCTTTAATAATTCTTTCGGGAATTTCATTATTTGAAAAGTTGCCATAAGGGGTCCCCCCTAAAACCATAACCAATTAAACTATGAATAAAATTGTCAACATATACCTAAAACGCAAATCTCCCATAACAAGCATCCAAAGGACCAAACATCACTTTTTAAATTATGTGACTGTCCTTTGAATACTTCCATCGCTGTCCAACGAGTGTAGTCAGGCAAATTATTATGACTATAAAATTGAGACAGTCCATATCCGCTTATTTTAGGGATGAACCCATTAGCTACCATGATATTTCGGGCACAGAGCTGCTTATGAATAATCTAAAATCACAAATAAGAAAAATAATTCGTAACGCTTAATAATAAACCTTATTAGATGCTAGATGTGACATCCCTTTTACTATATTGAGAGCAATATCTAAAGCTTGATTTTCAGTCATATTACTAAATTTTCCAGGTAGTGAGTCTCTACTACCCAATAGTAAATCCTTGAGATTCATTGAGACATATTCTAGGACAACAAACACCATCTGAGATGTCTCACAAGTGCCCACTAATGCAATAATATTGTCATGTTTTCTCGTTTTAATTAAAACGTCCAAGTCACGAAGCATATTCTTTTTATCATCGACAGACAACTTCTTGTCTTGAACACTATACACCGCCACAGGTATTAAAGTGCTGTTTTCATAAATGGACCCACTGTTAACTCTCCCAAAACGTCCTATTCCTAGTAAATTACTAGGTTCGACTTTTAGTTGATTGTAGGGAATTGTTCTAACTTTTTGTTTCAAATCTCTGTAGTAGCTCACTTTCGTGTGCTCTTCTTCAGGTATGTAACCGTTATTTTCCTACAAATAAATGAAATTTTGTTTCAAACATTTGGAAATACGTACAACTTCGATCATTGGCCCTTGAAGGGTTAATTCCTGATTTTCAGATAACCGGTGCCTTCTATTGGTGACTCGACTTTTCAATATAATAAACCCGATGATACCAGCAATAAACATAAAACTCAATAAACCTATAGCTACAGATAATCCAATAATAACAGCAGGGGAGTCACCACTGACTTCAATAACTTCTTCACGGGCTTTAATAGAGTGTTTTAAGCTACTGAAAGCTCTTTTAGTTTTGCCATTTAGAGTACTAACAAGTCCTGCTATAATACTGTAGGTGATATCTTTCTGTAAAGGGGCGTTATAATATCCCCCATAATTGTTTTTATCCCCCACAATAAATTTCTTTTGGATGTTCTAAAAAAAGTACTTAATGTGATATTTCAGATTATAAAAACCAACCTCTGGTTTTAACTGTGCTGTGATGTAGTAGTTTAACCCTTCTCTTCTAGCTTCATCATAGCTTTTTAATATGTCTTCTTGGAATATTTGTTGGCTGTCTTCATTAAACACAATGACTAGATAAGATGTTATAGGTCCGTTACTATTTGACGTGGGTGATAATTCTATTTCCATTTTTTCTCCATCTCGTTTGATAATTTTAGGACTTTCGGGTGGATTTTCTGGTTCTGAAACAAACCTCCAACATAGAGAATTTTCACAAAATGTTTACCTTTAAGTTCAGTCTCAATTATTTGCGAAAATAAAGCCCCACTTCCCTCAGGTGATTGCGCACATAAAGTTATGTTATACTTGGTGGCTGGTAAAAGAATAATTTTTGTGCTAAACGTGTCGTTCAAATATGTCCATTCTGGGCTATTTGGTATGTAGTTTGCATAAGTGCGGATAACTGTAGCTTTGATTGAGTAACCATTTATTTTAGTGTAAGATTTTGGGGGCTTCCAAGAAATGTGGGCACTTGTGTCTGTCACGTTTGTTAACTTGACGTCTTCTGGGGGCCCTGGTGCTGCAACCAAGAATTTAACATGTATTTTTTTACTAATTATAAATTACCTAAGTTTCCTGTTGCATAGACATCGGTTACATTATCACAAAAACTGTCACATATTTGGTTGCAAAACACCGTATTGTTGACTTCTTCTCCCAAATAATTGCCACAATAACATAATTTCGTACTTTGGATCATGGAGTACCTAAATAAGTTTTAATTAAAGTTGAAAAAGTTAGAATTGTGAGTACCTGTAGTATTTTATCCTGCATTCTTCTATACATTGCTCGGTTGTTGTCCAGGATATGTTGTAGGTTTGTGTTGAAAAAACTGTTTTGTAACAGCCTTTAAACCTATCATCGGCGCTTAAAACTGCACTTAGAAGCAATATGAGACAAAATTTGATCATTCTGCGTGTTTGTTGTTCAAAAAACTGAAATTCCGGTTATGAAACAACTCAAATTATATATTGTTTACCTGTCAGTTATATCTTCATTAATCAGCATATTATACGACCTGAAATACTATGCAATTTTTTAACCGATCAATAAACAAATCAAGAATTAGAAATGCTTTTCCTAAGGTTAAACTAGGCAAAAATGCAAATGAACACACCCTGAGTGACTAATCGCAGGTGTAATACATAATTCACCTAAACTTAATTCTTCTTAAACTTATTTATAAACGATTTGTGGTTTCTTCTACTATAGAGGTATTTTGTATGTTTGCAATTTTTATCAGTTTGTTTATTTTACAAAATCACAAAGCTTTTCACAGGTTATTTTCTCTGTCAACTTTTACAGCGAGATTATTATTAATGGGTTAGGTGTCTAATTATACAGCAGACCATTCAAATCCTAAATATGTTTTATTTTGATGGTGAATACTAAGGAAGACATGTTTACAATTTGATTGGTCTACTCTAAATTTTAAAAGTTAGGTTTCTTGAACAAAAAGTTTGTACAATTCGGTAATTTCCGCTAACTTCGGCTTCTTCCGACATTTTCAAAGTTTCAACTGTTTGTTTCAACGTTTCTGGCAGTGTGGTCTTTGTTTTTGTGATTTATTCTCACTTTTTTGTTATTTTAGGGTTTGACTTATTTTCTAATTGGAGTACCAACGTGTAAAGGTATGTGCGATAAAAATCAACTCAATAGTATGTTAGTAACGACGTATTTACTTTAACAAATATTAAACGAAACTAGAAACGTAATAATCAATAAGTTTTTGTGTCAGTTTTATTAATTTCGGTGAAATACGTTGATTCACAATTTCTCATTTAAAAACAACAGTACCTAAACAATCAGTGATGGCAAAAGTATTGCATAAAAAGTTGCCAAAAACATTGTTACAAAGCTGTTTTTTTTTTATAAAAGAGTGTCATAAAATGCTCTTAGCAACACTGAAAACCAATAGAAAAAAATACTTAATTTGTTTAACATTGCAGCAATCTGTATCCCTAATGGATGAAGATTTTGAAATGGCCTCTCCTTCATTTGCTACCAGTACAGCTACTTTAACTGAAACAGAAGAAATGGTACGCAATGCGTTTTCTTCTGAGAGTCTAGTAGCGGAAGCAACTGCATCAACCGCAAATGTTGCGGAATTAACTGAATTTGAAACGGTCAGCCAATTATCTACAAATGTTGCAACACAGATCGATTGTCCAGAATCTAGAACTGAAGAATTTACAGAAGAAACTGTTGCTCTTCAAGAGATGGAGACCAAAGCAAATTTAGGTAAAGAAAACAATTCTTAAAATAACGACGATATTGAAGTGGCCTCTTCTTCAGTTGCTACCAATTGTCTTGGTCCTTTTGCAAAACAAGCAACTACTATAACCGAACCAGAAGAAACTATGCCCAATCCGATTTCCACTGAGAGTGTAGTAGCTGAAGCAACATCTTCAACCGCAAATGTTGCCGATTTAACTGAATTTGAAACAGTCAACGAAGCATCTACAAATGTTACAACACAGGTTAATTGTCCAGATTCTAGAACCGAAGAAATTACAGAAACTGTTGCTTCTCAGGAGATGGAAACCAAAGCAAATTTAGGTAAAAAAAATAACCCTGAAAATAACGACGATATTTCAGTGGTCTCTTCTTCAGTTGCCACCAATTGTCTTGGTCGCTTTGCAGAACAAACAACTGCTTTGACCGAACCAGAAGAAATTATGCTTCATACGATTTCTACTGAGAGTATCGTAGCGGAAGCAACTGCATCGGCCGCAAATGTTACCGAATTAACAGAATTTGAAACGGTCAGCGAATTATCTACAAATGTTGCAACACAGGTTGATTCTCCAGATTCTGGAACTGAAGAATTTACAGAAACTGTTGCTTCTCAGGAGATGGAGACCAAAGCAAATTTAGGTAAAAAAAAACAACCCTGAAAATAACGACGATATTTCAGTSGTCTCTTCTTCASTTGCYACCAATTGTCTTGGTCSYYTTGCAGAACAAGCAACTACTTTAACCGAACCAGAAGAAATTATGCCCAATCCGATTTCTACTGAGAGTGTGGTAGCTGAAGCAACTGCTTCAACCGCAAATGTTTCCGATTTAACTGAATTTGAAACAGTCAACGAAGCATCTACAAATGTTGCAACACAGGTTGATTGTCCAGATTCTAGAACCGAAGAAATTACAGAAACTGTTGCTTCTCAGGAGATGGAGACCAAAGCAAATTTAGGTAAAAAAAATAACCCTGAAAATAACGACGATATTTCAGTGGTCTCTTCTTCAGTTGCCACCAATTGTCTTGGTCGCTTTGCAGAACAAACAACTGCTTTGACCGAACCAGAAGAAATTATGCTTCATACGATTTCTACTGAGAGTATCGTAGCGGAAGCAACTGCATCGGCCGCAAATGTTACCGAATTAACTGAATTTGAAACGGTCAGCGAATTATCTACAAATGTTTCAACTCAGGCCGATTTTTCAGAACCTGAAACTACAGAGTTTACAGAAACTGTTGATACTCAAGAAGAGGGAAGTAAGACCAAAGATTTAGGTACAGAAAACAACCCTGAAAATAACAACGATATTGAAGTGGCCTCTTCCTCATTTGCTACCAATTATCTTGGTCCTTTTACAGAACAAGCAACTACCTTAACCGAATCAGAAAAAATGATACCCAATACGATTTCTACTGCGAGTGTTGTATCTGAAGCAACTGCTTCAACCTCAAATGTTGCCGATTTAACTCAATTTGAAACATTCAACGAAACATCTACAAATGTTGGAACACAGGTCCATTGTCCAGAATCTAAAACGGAAGAATTTACAGAAACTGTTGCTCCTCAAGAGATGAAGACCAAAGCAAATTTAGGTAAAGAAAACAATTCTGAAAATAACGACGATATTGAAATGGCCTTTTTTCAGTTGCTACCAATTGTCTTGGTCCTTTTGCAGAACAAGCAACTACTTTAACCGAACCAGAAGAAATTATGCCCAATCCCATTTCTACTGAGAGTGTGGTAGCTGAGGCAACTGCCTCAACCGCAAATGTTGCCAATTTACCTGAATTTGAAACAGTCAACGAAGCATCTACACAGGTCAATTGTTCAGAACCTGAAATTGAAGAATTAATAAAAATTATTGCTACTTTAACTATTGCAAATTTAGGTAAAGAAAACAATTCTGAAATGACGAAGGTTTTGAAGTGGTCTCTTTTTCTTGTCTTGCAGAAGAACAAACAGTTAGTCCATCTGATGCAGCTACTTTACCTGAAACAGAAGAAATTATACCCAAGACTGAAAGTCTGATAGCTGAAGAATCGGCATCAACTGGAAATGTTGCTGATTTACCTAAGATTGAAGCGGTTGGAAAACCATCTACAAAAGTTGCAACACAGGTCGATTTTTCAGAACCTGAAACTGGAAAGTTGACAGCAATTGCTGCTACTCAGGATGAACCTAAGGCTAAAGCAGTGGAGTTAACATTTCCAGCTTTAACTATTACTGGGACGGGAGATCTCAACACCTCTCATGCAAAAGAAAATCTTAGCCAAGAAAACGATTTTGAAAATACCCAAGATTTAACTCTAACAGAAAACCGCATAGTAGACCTTAAAATGGTACGTAGGAAATAATTTTGGGAGCTTGGCATGTTTTGTATTAAATATTTATGTTTTTTTTTATGTACATGTGTTTCGATAGTTTCGTTTTAATGGTTTGTTTTTCGTTTCATTCTGTGAATGTCTTTTGATTTAATTTAAAATAAATTATAACATAAATGTAAGGTTATTTTGAAGTTGTAATTTCGTTGTAGAAATTTTTAGCATCGCCAAAAAATATGGATAACGAACTCTATCGACATTTATTAGAATCGGTAACATAATGCAATTTGTTGTAACTAAAATATCTACTAAAATTTTAAATTACATTTTAGTCTCCATCAGTATTAAACCATCACTTACCTAGTTTTCAAAAATATTCTGTCATGAAACTGGAAGTCAATAATTTGCGCCAAAAAATTGCTAAACTCACCTTGGAGCTCCTTCAAAAAGAAAGGGAATTAATTAAAATAAGACCAGACATTATTATATCCCAGCCCATAAAACTAGAGACTGAATATAAAGAGCTTGAAAATGGTGATAATAAACTAGACGAAGCCTACAAGAAAATTGCAAACTTATCAAAAGAAAACACCAAATATGCAAATGACTCGAAAGAGCTTCAAAATAAATTTGATACAGCTTTGAACGATTTCTCCGTACTAAAAGAAAACTACTTAAAACTTGAAAACGAACTTCAATCAATGAAAGAAGATAACGTGAAGTTAAGGTAAATAATTGTTTTTTTCCTTCTTAGGTGTAAAAAAATTTCTAATTTGTTAATTTTCAGGGAGAATTTGCGTCATTATGATGTGATAATGGAACAGCTTTGTAAAAAAATTGAATCAATACAAGTGATGTACGATAAGGAACTTGAGAAAAGAACAAGGCTAGAAAATGATATTCAGAAAGTAACAGAAGAGTAAGCCTAAAACTTTTGATTTGTCTCTCAATCAAATTATTTTGTTTTAGGAGGTTCAACAAGGCCAGTGAAATGGCAGACAATAAATTTAAGAGAAAATATGAGGTGAAAATACTAGAACTTGCGAATAAAAACATTCAGTTAACGGAGATGCTTCAAGTGTTACGTTCTAAAATGGCTGTGATTGGGTAATAACTAGGTATTATAAAATATAACTTATAAACTTTGTCTTTTTTCTTTCAGACACGACAAGGAAAATAAGGCAGAAGTAGCCAATAAATAATTTTTCAGGTGAATTAAAAAAAGTACGATTGGATATTTTTGTTTGCTTTATACATTTCTTTTACGTAATAAATATTGATTTTGTTTTATGTTTAAAGGAAGTATTATTTTATTGCATTTTACCTGTCTTTGAATTAAAAGGAAAAAAGTTGTTTTTTTTAATATTATACAAAAAATACTCAAAATGCTCTCATTTCTTTTTGGCAATAAGAAATTCTTGAGATAAAATTTTGTCAACAATCAAAAATATGCCAATATGGGGATTTTTTGTTGTCTAAGGATTGGCAATGCTACCAGAATTCTTGTCTTGCGCAAGCGCAACAGGGAATGTCATTATTTAATTGGCGGTTTTAGAAGTGGATAAAACATTATTATTTTTTATAAACTACAATGTCTGAAAGTGATGAAACTTTGTCAGAATTATCTCAAAGTCGAATTGAACGAAACCGCCAAAAGGCATTGGCAATCAGGCAAGCTAAGTTGGTGTCCCATCCAAACGCAAAGAGGTTAGTTGAAACAAATTTAAACACACAAAGAAATGATTATATTTTTTGCTTAGTACTGCTATATCCATTGATAAAACTACAATAAAAATTGGCTCTACTCGATATAAAGACACAGGAGGTGGATTTTTATTAGAAGAAGAATTAGAAAAAGAAAAACTTGTAAGACAAATAAATTATCACCTAATACGTTTATAATTTTTTGTTAGGAGTCAGAGGCATCAGCTGAGCCCCCTGTTTTGGAAGAAGATAGACCTAATTGCATAAAATGTAAAAAACCAATTGCAACATCTTGGCTTTTTGATAATTTTCATTATAAGTGTTGTGATTCTTGCAAGTATGGATGTTATACCTGTAGCAACTTGTTATTTTGTAATTTTCATTTTAGAGATTTAGAGGAGCACAAACTCATTACAAAAACAGAAGCCTTGAAAACATACTTGTTGAAAGACATAGATTTAGACAAACGGGAACCTCCGCTAAAATATATCACCAAAAAGAACCCACATCATGTGCGATGGGGGGACATGAAACTGTACCTCCAGCTCCAGGTTTGTATACCTGCTATTAATTTTGAAATGTATACAAAAAGAACAACCTTTTACATGGTGATAGAAAATCTATTTTTTTTATAACTTTCTAGCCCGCGTGATTTTCAAAATTTTGAAAATGCAGCACATTTTGATTCATATTGTGCCTACACTCATTGATTTCAAACGTTGGTTACTATAGAAACCCTTGATAGAAACCAACAAATTTTTGATGTGCTATTACCAAGTTTATCCAAAACTCCACATTTGACAGGAGTTTTATACACGTTTTTATTGTCTTTAAGATTTTATTTATTGTTTAATATTCTAGATGCATATTCCAACGTGTCTTACTAATAAGACACAAAATTACTTTCCCTAAGTAATAAAAAATTAATATTAAAGTCGCATTTTTGAAGAGGAAAGAGGATTTCGTTTATAATTTTTAGCGTGGTTTTGAAAATTTAAAAAATGCACTCAATAGTTTCAACGCTTGTTGCTATAGAAACCAATATATTTTTGATGTGCTGTTGACTAGTTTACTAAAACTTATATTTTATCTGACTTTTATTAGGTGGAAGAGCGGGCATTGGAAATTTGGGGTAGCAAGGAAGCAATGGAGGAGGAACGTCTCCGTCGTGAGGATAAACGGGTTATTTTAAAAGCAAAAAGGTATCAGAAGGAGTTAAAGGAGTTGAGAATGTCTATGAGGAGTAGTTTATATGATAGGACGTCAGCCGCTGCTCATGTTCATGAATTTGGTCCTGAAACATATAATGAGGAGGAAGATACGTATAGTCGTAATTGTTTAACGTGTTCATATGTAGAAACTTTTGAAAAAATGTAAATGATTTTAATAAAAAATATCACTTATAAAATATGTATTTACAATAATTACATCAGTTTGTAAGTGGTGATGACAGAAAAATCAAATATCAATAAATACACTCAACCTGAGCATCCTGGCGTGCAAATCTATGTTCATACAAACAACAATTAAATAACTAAAAATAAGTACAAAGAAAAAGTGTGTACACTTAAGCTAGCATCACTTTAAATTAGATATCTTTACACGGGGGAATGTGATACCTATTCTGACTAAATTCTTCAGGTATTGTGGTTGTGGATCTATTATGTCTAAGGTGACTTCTGACTAAATGACCAGCTGTGAGTGCAGCCATCAGAGACAGTTCTCCGGCTAAAACCGTGCCACAGACAATCCGTGCAAGTTGACTTGCGTTTTCTCCAGGACAGTCTGGATGTGATCCCTTAACCCGTAACATGTCTAAACAGGAAGACTGTGCAGGGAGAACAGTACCGCCCCCAACTGTCCCAATTTCTATAGATGGCATTGTACAAGAAACATACAAATCTTCCCCAGTTTCCCCCCACGGCTCCATCAAAGTCATACAATTACTACTACCAATATTTTGCGCAGGATCTTGACCAGTCGCTATGTATATGGCAGTCACAATATTCGCAGCATGAGCGTTAAAACCACCTATACTGCCTGCGACAGCCGACCCTATCATATTTTTCGAGTTATTCACGTCGACAAGGGCGGGTGTGTTCGTTTTTAATACTTTTTTAACAATCTCTGACGGGATTATCGCCTCGCATACGACAGATTTCCCTCGACCTTCGATCCAATTCACAGCTGCTGGCTTCTTGTCCGTGCAGAAATTACCACTAAGACTGAGAATTTCCATTTCAGGGAACTGTTTCTGGACATATTTTAACGACATTTCTGTTCCTTTTGACACCATGTTCATTCCCATCGCATCTCCGGTCTTTGCTTCGAATCGGACAAACAAGTGGCGACCTGCGATTTTGATTAATAATTTGGACAGTCTTGCAAATCTGCTACTCGAGTCGAATTGTTGTTTCATGGCCTCGAAGTTCTGTGAGCATTTCATCCAAGACATAGCCTCGCTGCAACAAGACCGATCAATCACCTTTTGTAAACCTAATTAAACTTCAATTTCTATGCAATTTATTTAAGAAAATCGGAAATCATTTTTTGTTTACTTGTTATTCAATAATAAATGTCTTATAAAACCGTGATTTTTTAGTTTCATTGGCAAAGTATTGTTTAATTTTGTCTTGAGTAATCGTCACGTGACAGAAAATAACACGGCGTTTGTATCTCTTTAAGGAATAAAAATTGCATGCCTCGCCTGAAAAATGATTGTGCAACAAGGGAATAACATTATGCGGTAATTTACCAATGAAAAAAAGCGAAAATTGCGATATTATCCTGTCCACATCTAATAGTCGGTACATGAATGATATCAGGTTCAACAGTGGTTATAAACAAAAGTTAGCAATTGAAAAAAAAAGGCAAGAAATTTCATAAAACCATTGCTGCCTTTCTATAAAAAAAACCTAAAATTTTATTAGGGTGTTCATATCAATTGTTCCTCTTCTCGAATAAATATGAATATAAATCTTCGTCAGTTTGTTTTTAATAGTAAAAAACGAATTCTGTCATTACAAAATTTCACATTTGTCAAATGGAATAATTATTGTTATGTAAAACAATGCTAAAATGTGTAAGTCATTAATTTTTTTCAAATGAATGACTGACTACAGGCTGGAGTAGGTACTAAAAGTAAGTATAGTTTACTTTCTATCAAAAACTAAATCACACCATAAAAAAATAAGTTTTTTTCTCTGTACATGTAAATTTTTTCGGACACATTGTGTGCAATATTGCCATGTCAAACATTTCTATTATTATTCTGCACCCTCTAAGCAAAAAATGTTGTATTGCCAGTCGATAATTCATAAAAAAATAAATTTTGAATCGGACCATTTCTAAAAATTATTTAGTCTTGAAGTTTAAAATGACATTAGAAATAATGTTTTAAGGAGGTAAAACCGACTGAAAATGGCAAAAGGCCGTTTTTCTTCTATGATCTCAGTAACTGGTGGACATAAATTTACAAATGTTTGCATCTGAAGTAATTTTTTGGGGGTGAATCTATTGGTGATATCAAAAATTCTGTAGGGGCGTAGGCACGGGCCTACCTAATTAAGGCGTACAATTTTGCTTTGGAAGAAATTTTTTTTTGCAGATTGCCATTTATTGGCTACCTTTCTCTTATGTTACTTTTGTACGACGCACCGTTTTTGAGAAAAAACACATGGACATAGGTCCATGGAAACTTTTTTCTTATTTTGAACCCTACGAATCTTTCAATGTTTTTCCGGACATTCTGTCAGTGCCATGATTTGACTTTTGCATCATTTCAGAAAAATGTGAGAATTATAATAAACTAATGTAGTGTATTATTATTGTTCGTAATTAAAACTAAAAATTAAAACAATGATCAAGGAATTACCAAAGGTTAACGTCCTTACACACGCACGATGTTTTTTGTTGAATTACAGGAACAAAAATATCAAAATATAATTATTTCATTGTTGGAGAAATAAAAAATAAACTTTGTGGTCGATGATGATAGGTGGATAAATATTTTGTAGGAAAATCTTTCATAATTTTTACTCAATGATTGAAAAAACGGAAGACTACTACTACACCCCAATTTTTTTTTCTATAATTTCATAAAAAAGTGGTACCTGGCTTTTGTGATAGAAGGAAACCGCACGACTGGCCCTCGAGTCATGCCATCACTGACAACCCTGCTAGTCACCCCGCAATCTAACAGTGCTCGACAGCCCCTATTTGTGCTTGCCACCAAACATCCCTCAGTGGTAGCCATGGGCACATAGACATGGCGACCGTCCAGATTCAAGGGCCCCGCGTAACCAACCGGCACCGGCATGTAACCAATAACATTTTCACAACACGCGCCCATTACCTAAGAGAAATTAATCAGTTATATTGTATGAACATTTAAATGCAGAATACATACTTTGGCGTAATCGTAATTCCTGAAAGGTAGATCTGTAAGAGCCTCGGAAAAATTTCCCTCACGAGCCAAAATTTTTCTTCGTATTCCCACTCCTCGCTCAGGATCGTCGACAGCCTTTTCGATTTGATAGGCAGGTATCTGTTTGTTTTTAACGAGTAAAATAACTTCATCATCACTCAATGCCGCTCCGCCCAAATTCGAATCGTTGTATATTTTCAAACATTCTTCAAGGCTTCTGCATGTTTTCATAGACATCTCGTTGTTCCCCGTTAATAGTTTTTCAAATTCCGACTCTAAGCGGCCAATGTCTGTTTGTACTTCTTTGTCTTCGAATGCTGATTCTAGAGTAACACCCGAGTGAGAAAAGAAAAGAAAATCTTTGTTACTTGTTATGTTACCTTCTTTAGTATTGTTACTCAGGAAGAATGATTGGGTTTTGATCAATGGCATTTTAAATCGATTGTCTTTTTTTCCAGGATCAACACTTTCTGTTGATATGTGAGCTCGGAGTTGTTCCGCCAACTCTTCCTTATTTTCAAAAAATACAAATTTTACCACTAGTGCCAGAAGAAGAATCAGAATAACAATGTGGTCTGCACTAACAGTAACCCATCTGGAAGATACGTGTGAGCTCTTTAAATTTTGACTTGAACCGTTACTTACTTCATAATATATTCATGTAAGGTTGTGTCCTCCGTGCGATTTAAAGTCATGTGTTGCTCGACGACTAGAGGTCTAATATTTTCCACGTCATCATCTTTAAAGGGCCACCGACTAGAATACGAACTTGTTAAAACCACCACTGCATCAGTGTGTAAACTGACTTGAAAAAAATATTTCCGCTACTACTATACCTATCGATAATCTTTTTACAAATCTTACAACATAATAGTTTAAAAATAGCAAAAAAAAGGTTAAGTGGCGTTTTGAATATTTAAATGCGGCTTAAAAAAGAACCATTCTTTCGGAAACTTCATTCATGTTTTAGAAATTTGCATTTACCTGCGAGCATGTACTAACATCAGCCCCGCTGACATTATCAATTTCACCCTTTGGACCACAGGGTTTGATTTGTGATCTTCCTCCTTTAAAGCCCGCGCGATTAAGGACTGCTTATTACCATAAATATTTGTTGTTCGCGACAACTGCAAATGATAAAGTTGAGTAGGGTCAAGCACTACGCTTGCGCATTATGCTCAAGTAAAAGTGGATTAATTACCTCTAATATTAATGATAAGCAGGCCGGATAAAATGTCATAAAAACTATATAATTAACTAAAACTGAAAGGCATGCGAAATATGAAAGCATTTCAAGGCGATGAACACCTAAAATAATCACAGAAATCACGCAATGTGTTGGTGGAAATTAAATTAACTTACCTGAGAGGGTTCCAACGCCGATGACTAGAGTTTCCACGATTGTATCTAAAGTAATTGTTGGTCCCAAAACGGCCATACCTCGTGCAATGTTGCTTTTAACTTCTTCTTGGTTCGAAGCGCTTAAAGCAGACTGAGCCAACATCGCCGCTTTCGATAAATCGATCAGGAGAAGAAAGAAAAACAGTGCATCCCTAAAACATAATTTTTAGAATTCGAACCTCCATTTCGACAATATACAGACTTTAAATCTGATACATCGATCCACAATAGATTCAGGACAGTCGATGTAAAAACGAAACTCGAAAAAACGGTGAATAAACCGGCTATTCCTAAAAATAACAAAATTACTTCTGACTCACACATTCAAATTTTCGGTTTTTTCGACAACGGAGACGAACAATACTTTCTCCACGACTCTTAACACTCTTTAACCTTGAATCATTTTCACTTCACTTTCGCCGTTATTTTATTCTAATGTCATGCTTTAATAAACAGGAGGTGATACCGTTTGCCATTGCAATATTAAAGAGGTTGATTCGATCACTTGTTTCGTAATGGAAAGGAAATACTCACCCAAAATATATTTCGATCCTAACTTTTCCAAATTACAAAATTGATAATAACAGTACAAGACGGCCAGGCAACGTATTAATGTCATCACAATCACGTCAGCCGCGTTATATTCAGCCTAGAAAAATGGACAATTAAAATTTAGCTAATAAATAATAGTATCATGATTATTTAATAATAATGATCACTATGGTTAAACACTAATTAATATTTCAATTGTTACAAAAACATTAAACACCTGCTTAACATGCTTTTTATTATTCCTTTCTTGATTAACAAAACAAAATTTCAACTTTTGTGCATTATGTGCTTTCTAGCAGAGATAATTTTCTTGTGATTCAGTGCAATTAATAGAAATTTAATTAGAAACTTTTATTATTTCGATTTAATCTAAACAACCCATTTGAAACAATAACATATACTTACTTTTGTTGAATATTTTAACTAAAAATTTTAAAACAATACTCTTATTAATTTATTTATTTCAAAGCAATTAACTAAAATGTATAAAATAAATAAAACATTTTGGTTTCGTTTTTTATACACTTTACGCATTTACAAATTATAATTAAGAAGTTACTCAAATAGTATGTACATTAAAAAACAAGTGTTACAAATACTCTCATTGGGATGCGAGCAGTTTGTGCCACGAGCCACGCAGTGACGAGTTCTGACGCATCCTGTATAAACGTAACGTATCGTGCAAACAGTTGCGGCACAGCCTTATGGAGCAATAAGATTTGTGATTTTTGAATCTTGGTCAATTGTATTGAGAGATGTACGAATGTAAATCTTCTTATTTTACATTTAAAGCTCCGGCACTAAATTATTATTACTGTGGACGTATTACGATTTGTGTTGATGTTGTTTCTGTTTAATATTCAATGATAACGAGCGTCAAAAACAATAATAGAGAGTTACTTCATCTCTGGTGTAAAAATGTAAATTGGAGCTTTCCCTTTCGACTAGTTATGCAGATGTTAAAGTTATAAAATATTTAGCACAGTACTCTCCATCAGAGATAGTAATATAAAATGTCGAGACGTAAATAGAAGTTGTTGATCGTCGTTTGTTGACATTGGCAGTGAAAGTAAGTTTATAGCATAAAAGAAAATAATTCTAGAATAGACGTGATGGATTTAACGACTTGATGTTAACACACCCACAGAACTTGATTCCTCAATCACAACAAAAACTAAATTTGCATAGTTTTATCAAAAAAAAAAAAAAAAAAAAACGAGAGGATTCAAACAAATGAAAATACAATGGATAATTTTTCAGACAGAACTTGGGCCATTCTGTATAAAACCAATATATTCAAATGGTTACTTTTCCAATTTCATTGCCACAGTATTACTGCAATTGAATCTGGTTTACCTTATTTAATAATTACCGCACACGTTGTAATAATTCTGATTGGTAGAAAAATGCACATCTACAACCTTGTTGCAGGGTGCAGATAAACACTTCCCGTATTACAAAATAGTATACGCCATATACTCACATCTGAGGTCATGACTATGATCTTTTCTCCATTGATTATAGTTTCTCGTTTATTAAGGATTGCATTTATTAATATTTTTTATGAATCCTTGAAGAAAATTATGCATCAACGTAATTTATTTTATGTACGAGTGTCTTAGAATTATTCAACATAAAAACCGCAAATATTACACCAGAATTGCTCGTCATACAAGTCCTCAGCCGTTGAAATTTTTGTTTTTTAGTTAAATTTCTCATTATGTTACCATAAATTTTAGCTGAACAAAACTTTTGTTTTATTAAAAAAAAAAAATCTATCAAGCTCATGTCAAAATTACTAATAATTCTACATAATTCTAAGGTTTTAATATAACTGTCAGATTCTGACCTACACACCATAATAACGAACACAACTGTAAAAAGTTCAAAATTAATTTTAAATTCTTTCTAATTTTAAACAAAAACAAATTTTACAATTTTCAAATATATATTTTAATTCATTCAAAAAATTGATTGATATTGAACGAAAAAGTCTTAGCTAGGAAACGCTTTATAATTGCTAACAACAATATAAATTCTTCGGAGATTTACGTTAACATTATTCCATAAATTGTCATTATGCACTTAGAAATATGAATGGAGAAAATTACAAATTATCGAATAATAAAAATATATTTTAAAATCAACATTTTTGACTCCGAATTACAAGTTTTTAACAGAATCTGACTCAAAAGCTAAAAGTAAAAAGTGCCTCAATGAACTTCTAAAGAATTTTTAATACGGTAACGACAAAATTCAAGAAGTAAAATAAAAATTTGCTGGTTCCTGGTTCTCAAAACTTTTCGTTTGGGTACTACATAATTTATTTTTTCCCGACATTTATACGATACTAAAGTATAGAAAAATTGATCTAGTGTAAGTATATGTAAATACAATCGACAGGTTGTATATTTTTTTAACGTCTTCTTATTGTAATTTGAATTATTTGTTATAGAAAATTGTAAGAAACGAATGAAAAGGTTACATTCCACGAGTTACAACTCGTGTAATATATACGAGCGATACCAGCAAATCGCACCAACAACCACCTCTAGTAAATGCTTCCTTACGCACGTGTGCTGTAAATTAACTCCAGTCGTAGACAGAATATTTAATATGAATACTTTTCAGTTTTCGTAGTCGGCGTATAATGATATCACTGATTCTGCGAGTTTTAATTAACGACTGCTCCAGTAAATTTCTTTTGAAATATTTTTTTTACTTTTACCCAAAAAATATTTTATGTAATTTATTACAAAATACAATTATTGTTTTTTTTTGCTTCTTCACCTTGCCCCTAGGTTATAGGCAAGATTGGGTTATTCGGCCCTGATGCACATGTGTTTAATATGAAACATATTGAAGAAATGTGTGAAAAGATGTAGAAAAATAATGGAGAAGTACATTAGAGTATGGGTTGATATTTCATTAAAGACAGATCGTGATTTCCATCTGCATTAAATCGATAAAATGTTTAGAGTTTTAAGCGAGGTCAGATATCGCAACTACAAAATGATTAAATTCGTTGGAAAAAATGCTGCGTCTACCTCTTGCAGACACTCCGCACAGTATCTGAGGGTGGGTTTTGGGGGTGGTGCCGGATGTTGTTGATCCACTGTCAACATGCATGCTGCAAGGGTAAGTGTGGCTACAATAACTTCCCAGGGATGTGTTGCACAGAATTCTCCATGCGCGCGAAATAATCGTGTCGTCATCGTTTAACAGTCCTGAACCGTCTCCTGCAACACAAAAAAATATACATATTAAAAACGGCATATTTTAAAGCAATAAAACGTTTCCATAAAACAATTCCGAAAGCTTTTAAGGGCTTGCTTATAAATCCCGCTGAAACGCAAATTCTATCTAAAATGCTTGCGAGCGATTACTTTATCTCACGATCGACCATCAAAACTGACACCGGAAACAAATATGGAATCGTGAATTCCGCTCCGTATTGAATTTTTATTATTTCTTTTTGCATCTTATTCAATCGAGTTGAACATGGCGAAAATTCACATGGAGACATTCCAAGCGATTAAAAATAATATGAAGTTTTAAATACACATAAAAAGAAGCAAAGCAGACACAACATGAATACTGGAAAGGAAAAATTCAGACACTTGTGAGACGAAGTGCGAAATTTTAATACTTCGAAGCTGTCGAGAAGAGAGACCTTGACAAACACTACAAAAGTGTTGCAAGCATTTGTGCAATACGAAATTGACAGTGAAAAAATCCCAAATTATGATGTAGGTAATGAGAACGAATTATGAAACATATATTGAGGTAAATGTCAAATTGCCGAAATAAAGTAAGACATTTGACATTGAGACGGTTTTTCTATTGATTAAATGATTTGTATGAACCAGAAATACGATGAAACTTCATTAAATTAATTTCATTTAACACAAAGGGCCGAGTTGTTGATAAATTGAGTCGGTAATTAATGAATATCAATGGATTACAACAACAAAATATGTTCATAAATTAATTGATCTTTAGAGAAGTAGATTCCATTAGCTGATGTCAAAATCAATAGCTACAAATTGGCGCAGAGCCTTTCTATATAGAGTTAAACTCCATACGTGCCTGACACAATTTTAACATCGTATAAAAACACAATTATGTTTTTTAATGACTACAGCAGCAGTGTTCATAATGCGATATTAAATAAATGAAAATGTCACATATCACATTTTTGACAACAAAAAATATTTCATCCTGGCTCCAGGAAAATGTAAATGTCTATCATACTCCTTTGTGTTACTCACGAACAAATTACTCCACAGAAATTGCTAGCAGGATGCAACTCGTTTCAATAATTTTCACCGATTCTAAATTAAACACATGCAGTCAACCACATTCTTGCGATCACTACGTGGACTGTTCGACCGTTATTCAAATTCATTTTGTCATTTTAAACTTGCATCACATTTATCTATCTCTAATAACTCCAGATTATCACTATTATTTAACAGTACAGATAACTTATCCGTTCTAAATTATTAAAATGACCCCGACCTGTTCACGTCAGCTTAAAACTAGAAAGAATGGGAATTTTTATGTTACACTATGCACATAATTTCAACGCCAAACGCAAATTAGAAATGAATTGTAAGCCAATTATATACAATATTTCGTTTAAACCACAAAAGGTCGTTGCAATTTTAGACACCAGTAAATATCAAATAAATAATTACGAGTACTTATTATTAAATTTCTGCAGCTACTTTCGAGTAAAAGTTAGAATGACAAAAACTTACTTAATAATATGACCTCAGTTTTTCTTATATAAAAAAATAACTAGCTCTCATCTTGGTGAATACAAGAAGAACAAAAAATAACTTTTAAGCATACTTCAGCTTTCTAGTCTAGTCGGAAAATGTCAGAAAATATAAGTTGTGTAGGTACAACGTATATTTAAAAAAATTTGTACTTGAGCCAAATTGTAAGCAAAGAGCTTTAAATTCTTATTTCTGTTGCTACAAAAATTCTTGAAAGCGTCAAAAAATAGTATAAAACCTGGTTCAGATTTTATTGCTTAAACAAAGTATTTATTTAAAAAAAAAATCATAATATTGTATATACAATATGTCTCCGGAATGAGTTTCAATTATCAAAGAGTAATTTTTTTCTCTTGTAAACTCAATTTGAGGACTTACTGTAGATTAGATAAAAAAGCGACGTCATAATACCAATATTAGATGTCTATTTAATAAGATATAAAGATAGGATTCTGGATAAGAAGATCAGTCAGATCACTTTATAATCAAGTGGTTTTAGTGGGATAAAAGTCCATGTTAATTCAAGCAAGAGTGAAGCAAAATAAATTGAAAAATCTGTATCATAAATAAAATATTACAAAACGTATTGCCAAACAAGATTCACGTAAATCTGGGCTTCGACCTTGACGACATAGAAAATGCATAATGCAATCATGTTGTCAGTGACTTTGATAAAAATAATAGACGAAACAGCAACATTCTCCAACCTCAAAACATATTTAACAATAAAATTAAGCACAGATTCAAAAGTGATATTAAACGATTGAATATGATGCCAGTGTCAATGTCAAAATGTTGAAATCAAGCTTTTCGGTTGTAGAAATTTCAGACAAGACAAAACTTTTAGTGGATTTCTCTTGTACAATCCTTTTGAAGAATTTTAAAGAAGTACGGTCATCAAACGAGGTTTTCTTTTGTAATATTTGCGAAATGAATTATCTCTAGTAATAGTTGAAACAAACGCCAATTGGTTACATCATTTTTCAATGTCTTTGTTATTATTAATGTTGACAAAAGTGAGCATCCTGGGGAGTCCTGATGTATATGGGACCCCAACTTATAGCGCAATAGTAGAATATCAGTCAAGGTTGCCTACTTTCTCTCAGCGGCCAGTGCCCCGACCAACACTTTTATTAATCACAAATTATCATAATGATAAAAATTATGATCAATAACAAACATCATGCAATTCGAAAACATTTATTAACTCCAATATCTAGTAAAAGAGAAATAAAACTTCATCAACCGAAAGTGAAAAATATTCAACGGATGGTCGCGTAAATAAAAATAAAACTTTCGAATGTTGATGAATAAGAACAATATTTAAAAAATAACGTCGTTGCGTTCAAGAACATTATTGTCTTGAAAGGGAAACCGAAAACTTTCATTAGCGAGTTTTCTATCGCCGCAATTCTACAACAGAACCAGACATTTTCAAGTCTTCGGCGATAACAATTTTTCAAAATATAAAGTGAACAAATTTAGACTAAAAAAATATTCATATTAAGAAAATGAAAGTTAAATTCCATCAACATTTATCATTGTCGTTGTAGAAGTAAAATGATAAAAATAAAGACACATTTAAAACATTATAAACAAATGAACTTATGTTTTAGGTATTTTCATTTATACTCCTATATTTTTGACCACATTTTTTAAATTCCCACATTTCGTTAAATAAATTTATTAATCCAAATGTTTTTGGGTTGTTTATGTGGAAGTCCTAAAATAAGATTTGTAATTATAATATAAATCTCAACTAAACATACCTATACCCGTATTTATGCCGCAGTTTTGTCATTACAATAAATTTTCCAGAACAGTGACAAACGAGATGTTACTGCCTCTATTTTTATTAGCTGATTCTATATATGAAAGAGCGCAAATAAAATATCAACGCTCCTTAAAACAGATGCAACAACACAACAGTGCTGTCTTACATAATTCTGAATATGTTTAGAAACTATCGTTTATAGAAGAAGAAAAAGGAATAAAATTACATCCGAACCTCAAAAAATCATCTTGTAATTTTTTTAATGAAGCTACGAAATAATTTTATTAAGATAAAAAATTAATTGGTAGTTAGAGGCGCATCCGTTTAATTACCACAATTAATGGAAACATCATGAAAACGAATTTTTGATTTTCGATTTCGGGGTCAAAGACCAATTTAATAACGCAACTGGTTCGTAACAGAACCACAATGTTTTATATTAAAATTTAGCGATCTTCGTATATGTAACTCGAAGCTGTACAAACATTTAATTACTTGACGGAATTTCAAACTGCACAAGAATTTTTAAACAGAGCGAAGGGTTAGCTTTCCACTTAATTAGTCTGTCAGAGGAAATCTTAATATAGCCCAAAAATCTGCTTCATTTTCATTTTTCGATCCGACTTGCGTGAATGCAACAAGAATTTCGGTACTTTTTACGTTCCAAACAGGAATTAACGTTGTAAATGAAGGTGTATTGCGAAAGTGTTTCATGGCGCGGATGAATTAAAATAAAAAAACAGATCTCAGTAAACAAAATAAATGGTCGCTGGAAAAAATAGAACAGTTCCGACTGGAAACTATTTTTAAAGGAAAAAACCGTTTCGTTGAAATCATGATAACAAATAATTTTTTTTAAATCCAAACAGACAAACATTTAAATTGAGATTATCGCAACATTGGGTACAGAATTCTAAGAAAATGTCTTTAATTCAAGAATGGCAAGTTGCTAAATATTAAAATCTCCCTGTATTCCACTTTAAAATCAATTCTGATTTGATTTATTATAAATAGTTTACATTTGAGGAGTTATCGTAAGCATCCATTCCACTAACAACTTTTCAGCCTTCGTTAATTTTAGAATTTTATTTATGATTTACAATTCTTTGAAACTGGGATTAATTTTTAAAATTCTTTCATTACTTAAAAACATGACACGTTCAAATACGCTTCCAAAATAATAAAACTTACATATAGAATTTTAAGAGTTACCTTCACTGCTAAATCAGATTTTGAACATTACTAAATGAGTTTTTTTTTCTTGATTTTGTTTTTGATTCACGTTTACTACGAATACCAATATTTTTAATTTGTGTCATTTATTAAGTTGTTAAAATTACGAAAAAGTTAAGCACAGTAATTAGTGCTTTATAAGTTGTTAACGTAAGAAGAATGGTATAATTTGGTGCAACAAAAATTGTGACTCCTGCATTTTAATGTATTATTTTTAATAATCCAGTAATAAAGTGACTAACATAATTAACTACGAGTACAAGTTGTATGTGTATATTTTAAATGTAATGTAATTATGTTACAAAAATACGTATACAAATGTCAGAGTACATTAAAAAGCTGTGTATTTTTACTAACGTAAATAAAATAACGCAGTGACAAGGAATCAACTAATGAAACTTTCAATTTTTAACCTTCTGCAGTTCCTTTTATTCTTAACTTTACTTAA